TAGGAACGGATTTTTCAGTTCATGATAAGATCCTCTCAAGAGATAGAGCTCACCATTTTCCATAAGTTCCCGAAGATATACCAGACTGTCGTTGATTTGTTTAAAACAAGCTTTTAATACGCAAACACAATTTACGTATAGCATACTTATTTGTAAGTCTAACAACATGACGTATATACGGAAAATCTTGCGTATGACATCACTCTGAGACCAATTATAATATAACCAAAATTGCACGATTACATAAAAGAATCCAAAAATGTTCATGAAATGGATCTGTCTAGATAGATTTTGATATGCTTTCTGAGGCAATCCCAAAGAGAGCTTTAGTATAGTCTGAAGTAAACGCATTCGTGGTCCAATTGATATGAACGTGACGACCGTCATAAAACTATGAAAAACGTAATACTTGGTTGTTATAAGTATCCTGGCTGTGTCTTTTCTGAATTGACGAATAACACTTTTGGAAATATAGACATTATATATAATTATTACATCGCCAATGCAAAAAATAGTAAAAATTATAGTCGATAAAGCAGAACGTTGCTTGCAAATCTTGATGGTTGATCCATTGATTTTATATGGAAATATTCCCAGAATGCGACAAATAATGAAGCAAGGATACATTAGCGATTCAAAATCCATGGAGCGAAATAGCTCACATATTTTTGCTTTTTTTTTAGTTTTTAATCCTTGAAACTTCGATGATAAATTAAACATGTTCGTCGACATATTATAAAAGATCAGCAATCTGAATCATAGACTATAACCGTGAAATTTATTAATTAACCATATTATAATTGTAATTGCGTTCCTAATACATTTTAGCAAATATATATTTACAAAAATTTTTCTTCCAAGCGTAACTTTTTAGTATATTTACGATGATGTAGTTTACTTTTGTAGTCTGTCTACTCTTAGAGTACCTATTTTGAAACTACTAGCAATTTTTGCTTTGTATAAAGAGACAGAACTCAAGAATGTGTTATTCATGAAATAACCACGGGTTTTTGCTTATTATCTCCGGAACACGGCACAATGTAGTGATGTATAATTATTTGTGTTATATAATACACTATCTTGAGCATCTAGATCATGTACCAAGCGAACGAACATTATTATGGTATTTCTTGGTCTTCCATTAGCTGTATAGATAATTGCAAACTTACGGTAAGTATATATCGTGCTGATATGAAGTTAGGAAAAGAACAGAAAATTTTTATTTTAAATAAAACAGTTTATTTGATATAATTAGTATTTTGAAAATTGTTTGTAATATGAGTGATAAAAAAATAATACAATACTTGATAAAGATATTTAAGTAATTGTATTTGTCTATTTATTGTTATTGTTTGATTCATTGTAAGATCTTTCCAATTTGCTGTGGTCGTTAGCAATGCATCTGCTGTCTGCTATCTTGCGGCAGATTAATAATATACGTATTATATTTATCTAACTAAATTAAATTCATTTGTATTTATCAATTGATATTAATTAAAATACAAGGATAATTTAAAAAATTAAATTGTATAACATGTTTAAGTGTATAAATTTAGAGTGTTATTTCTCAGAAATATTTACATTGCATAAGTAGATTGTTTAATTATATACTTTTTTCTCACATTAAATATATTCCTCAAAAATGTCTATGTTACTGTAAAACTAATTACTAAAATAAATAAAACCATTTATTATTGATTATTAACATGTTTGAGATACTTAAAAATTTTTATACATATATACTGTATCTATAATCATAAAACATCCTAATAATTTTATTAATAATAACGTTCCACTCACAATAATAAAAATAAAATAATTAATGTTTAAAATATATTTTACATTTAATAAGGGAATTTTTTTGTTAATTAGATTATATTATTGTAATATTAAGTTTTTCCATCGCAAGAAACCGACATGAACATGAATTGTATCAAAATTAATAGGTATGTGACAATGAAACCCATCATCTGAAAAAGAATAAAACGAAAAAAAAGATTATAAACACAAATAAATATGCATACACTTATTTTATCAATTTATTACGTACCGTAAGGACAAGTGTAGTATCCACATTAAACACCGTTGCGGAGAATATAGTTTTATGATGCATTAATTGCAAAGAAAATAACTGTAACTGCGTTAGTTCAAATAAATATTAACAACAGAAATGAAAACGTAATTATATATATATATATATATATATATATATATATCTGATAAATTAATACATTAAAAAGCGCATTTACACACGGCATAATTTCAAAAATATACGTACAAAAGACATGCATATTAAATTATAATTTTTTAAATCTACCTCGTATTTTATTTCCTTATCACTGATGCTGTTAAACACGACGAGGACTGTGGTGTTGATCTTCATGGATTGATCTTTGGCGGTTTGACAAGCCCATATGATTAACAATAGTTTTATGATTTCATATATTATAATTGTTATGCGGCTCACGGAATATAACTGTTTATCGTGATTGCTCATAATCACAGCTTCTTGTACTACTTGCATTAAGTAAAAATATAAATTGAGAGTAATCCCAATAAAGGTCCCAGTTATTGTAGAAATGAGATGTAAACTGAAGGTCGTTTTCATCATGTGTACTGTGCCGCTGAGTGCCAGATGCTGCTGTTTCAAAGCCTTAAGTTCCATCAGTAGTAACGGATTTTCTAGTTCATAATAAGGTTTCCTCAAGAGATATAACTCATCATTTACCGTGAGTCTTCGAAGATTCACCAGATTGTCGTTGATTTGTTTGAAACAAGCTTTTAATACGCAAACACAATTTACATATAGCATACCTATTTGCAAATCCAACAACATCACGTATATATGAAAAATCTTGCGTATAACATCAGCCTTAGACCAAAAACAATATATCAAAAGTTGCACGATTATATAAAAGAATCCAAAAATGTCCTTGGCGTAGATCTGCCAAAATAGATTTTGATATGCTTTCTGAGGTAATCCCAAAGAGACCTTTAGTATAGTCTGAAGTAAACGCATTCGTGGTCCAATTGAAATAAACGTGATGATTGTTGTAAAACTATTAAAAATGTAAAAGCTGGCTGTCATGAGTGTTCTGGATATTTCACTTTTAAATTGATGAACAGTATTTTTGGAAAAATAGACATTGTATATGATTTTTAAATCGCCAATGCAAAAAATGGTAAAAATAGCAGTCGATAGGACAAAGTGTTGCTTGCAAATCTTAATGGTTGATCCATTGATTTTATATGGAAATATTCCCAGAATGCGGGAAAAAATGAAGCAAGGATACATTAGTGATTCAAAATCCCTGAAGCGGAATAGCTGATATATTTTTGCTTCTCTTTTAGTTTTGAATCTTTGGAATTTCGACGATAAATTGAACATGTTCATCAAAGTATTATAAGAAATCAGCAATCTGAATCATAAACTATAATCATAAAGATTATAAATTAATAATCATATTATTGTAATTGCGTTACTAATACATTTTAGCAAAAATATATTTATAAAAATTTGTTTTCAAGTATAATTTTTTAATATCTCCACGATAATGTAGTAACCGATATAAACTTTTTGCAGTCTACCTACACTTGAAGTACTTAATTTTAAAACTATTAATAATTTTTGCTTTGTATAAAAAAACAGGACTCAAGAATTTGTTATTCACAAAATAACCATGGGTTTTCACTTATTATCTCCGGAACACGGCATAAAATAGTAATGTATAATTATCTGTGTCATGTAATTCATAATCTATAGCATCGAGATCAGGTACCAAGCGAATAAATATTATCAAGATGTTTCTTAATTTTCCATTACCATACCTATACAGATAATTATGAAGTTGCAGTAAATATATGTCGTGCTTATATGAAGTTAGGAAAAGAATAGAAAATTTTTTACTTTAAATGAAACAAACAATTCATTTCGTCAATATAATGTATTTGAACTGTTTATTGTAATTTTAGTGATAAAAATATTACCAGTTGATAAAGATATTTAAGTAATTGTATTTACGTATTTATTTGTTGTCTCATTGTATGGCCTTTTCAATTTGCTATGATTGTTAGCAATGCATCTGCTTTTTGCTATATCCTACCATATTATGTATATTTCTCTAATTAAATTAATTTTTATTTATCGATTTTAATTAAAAAACAAAGATGTTTGAAAAATTTAAATTGTGTAACACATTTAAGTGTAGAAGTTTAAAGTGATATTTTTCAGAAATATTTTCATTAATTAAGTAGATTATTTAATCGTATACGCATTTATCATGTTAAACATGTATAACTGATTACTAAAATAAATAAAATCATCTGTTTGCTACTGATTATTAATATATTGGTAAGTATATAATATCTGAGTATGTATATGAGATCTTTAAAAGTTTCTTTAGATATACATATATTGTAAGTATGTCCATAAGCATAAAACATCCAAACATTTTATTTATATTAAGTTCCACGCACAATAATAAGAATTAAAAGTAATTAATGTTTAAAATATCTTTCATTGTATATTTAAATCGATCATTTTTTTATTAGATTAAATTACTGTGACATTCTTTAAAGCTTTTCCATCGCAAGAAGCCGACATAAACATGAATTGTACCAAAATTAATAGATATGTGACAATTCCACCTATTATCTAAAAAAGAATAAAATTATAAACAGTAGCCAAATAAATACGCCCACACTTATTTAACTAATTCAAATAATTAATCACTTACCGTAACGAGAAGCGTAGCGTCCACATTAAATACCGTTGCGGAGAATATAATTTTATGATGCATTAATTGCAAAGAAAATAACTGTAACTGCGTTGAATCAAATAATTATCAAAGACAGAATTTTAAGACGTAATTATACATATATCCGATAAATTAATATTAAAAATCGTCTTAGAGCATGGCAACAGAAATATGCGTACAAAGGACATTCGAATTAAATTATAATTTTTTAAATCTACCTCGTATTTTATTTCCTTATCGTTGATGCTGTTAAACATCTCGAGAACGGTGGTGTTGATGTTCATGGCTTGATTCTTGGCGGTTTGACAAGCCCATATTATACACAACAGCTTTGTAGTTTCATATATTATACAAAATATGAAACTCTCGGTGTAGAGCTGTTTCTCCATATAACTCATATTTACAGCTTCTTTAATTACTTGCGTTAAGTAAAAATATAAATTTAGAGTGATCTCAATGAAGGTCATAATTATCGTAGAAATGAGTTGCAAACTGAAGGTCGTTTTCATTATCTGTACTGTGTGGCTGAGTGCCAGATGTTGTTCTTTCAAAGCCTTGAGTTCCATCAGTAGAAATGGATTTTTTAATTTATGATAGGATTCCCTTAAGATATATAACTCACCATTTGCCATAAGTTCCCGAAGATTCACCAGACTGTCGTTGATTTGTTTGAAACAAGCTTCTAATATGCAAACACAATTCATGTATAGCATATTTATTTGAAACTCCAACAATATCATGTATAGTTGAAGGATCTTAAATATGATGTGAAACTGCAGCCAAATATAATATACCAAGAGTTGCACGGTTATATAAGAAAATCCAAAAATGTCCTTGATATGGATCAGTCTAGATAGATTTTTATATGCTTTTTGAGGCAATCGCAAGGAGAGCTTTAGAATAGTCTGAAGTAAACGCATTCGTGATCCAATTGAAAAGAACGTGATGACTATTATAAAACTTCCAAGAATGTAATAGCAGTTCACTGCAAGTGTTCTGGTTATATCGTTTCTGAATTTATTAACAATGTTTTTGGAAGAATAGGCACCATATATAGCTGTTAGATCGCTAACGCAAAAAATGATAAAAATTATTGTCGATAGAGCGTACTGTTGCTTGCAAATCTTAATGGTTGATCCATTGATCTTGTATGGAAATATTCCCAGAATGCGACAAAAAGTGAAACAAGGATACATTAACGATTCAAAATCCGTGGAGCGGAATAGCTGACATATTTTTGATTTTTTTTTAATTTCGTATCCCTGGAATTTCGACAATAAATTGAACATGTTTATCGAAATATTATAAGAAATCAACAATCTGAATCATAAACCATAAAGATTATAAATTTACCATATTATTGTAATTGCGTTATTAATGAACTTTAGTAAATATATATTTACAAAAATTTTTCTTCCAAGTATAATTTTTTAGTATTTCCACGATAATGTAGTAACTGATATAAACTTTTCGCAGTCTACCAACACTTGGAGCACTTAATTTTAAAACTACTAATAATTTTTGCTTTGTATAAAGAGACAGGACTCAAGAATTTTTTATTCATGAAATAACCATGGGTTTTCGCTTATTATCTCCGGAACACGGCATAAAGTAGTGATGTATAATTATCTGTGTCATGTAATTCATAATCTATAGCATCGAGATCGTGTAATAAGCAATACGTATTATCAAGATGTTTCTTAATCTTCCATTAGCTATATAGATTAAATTACGAAGTTACAGTAAATATATACCGTGCTGATATGAAGTTAGGAAAGAATATAAAATTTTTACTGTAAACGAAACAAACAGTTTATTCGATCAACATAATGTATTTGAAAAATTTTTATTATGCTAGTGATAAAAAAGTAATACGACCTGATAATGCAATTAAATAATTATATTTGCGTATTCATTGTTATTTGTTTGGTTCATTGTAAGATCTTTCTCATTTGCTGTGATCGTTAGCAATGCATCTGCTTTCTGCTGTTTTACAGCATATTATTAATATACATATTATCAATACATTACCCTAATTAAATTAAATTATTATGGATTTATTAATTTAATCGATTTTAATTATGATACAAGAATAATTGATGAATTCAAATTGTGTAACATATTTGATAAGTTTAAAATTATATTTCTCAAAAACATCTACATTACATAAGTAGATTATTCAACTGTACACTCATTCCTCATGTTGGACATTATTCTCAAAAATAGGTATTACATATATTATATAATTGTATACTTAAATAAATAATATCATCTGTTTGCTACTGTATTATTAACCCACTGTGTATTATAAGACTTTTAAAAGTTTCTATACAGACATACTGTGAATATGTTTATAAGCATAAAACTGAAATATTCCTGAAATATTCTACTCACAATGACGTCCCACTGACAAAAATAATTTATGTCTAAATTATCTTTTACATTCAATCCGAGAATCTTTTTTTAATTAGATTACATGTGTAATATTCTTTAAAGCTTTTCCATCGCAAGAAGCTGACATAAACATGAATTGTACCAAAATTAATAGATATGTGACAATACCACCTATTATCTAAAAAAGAATAAAATTATGATTATAAATAAATATTCCTACACTTATTTAACCAATTCAAATAATTAATCACTCACCGTAACGAAAAGCGTAGCGTCCACATTAAATACCGTTGTGGAGAATATAATTTTATGATGCATTAATTGCAAAGAAAATAACTGTAACTGGGTTAAATTAAATAATTATTAAAGACAAGATTTAAAGATGTAATTATACATATCTGATGAATTATTGTATTAAAAATCGCATTCACGCATGTCAATTACAGAAATATGCGTACAAAGGACATTCAAATTAAATTATATTTTTTAAAATCTACCTCGTATTTTATTTCCTTATCGCTGATGCAATTATACACATCGAGAACGGTGGTGTTGATCTCCATGGCTTGATTCTTGGCGGTTTGACAAGCCCATATTATCAACAGTAATTTCATAATGCAATATGTTGAAATTATTATAAAGCTCTCGATGTACACCTGTTTTTCGAAATTGCTCATACTCACAGTTTCTCGTGTTGCTTGCATTAAGTAAAAGTACATATTAAAAGTGATTTGAATAAAAGTCAAAGTTATCGTACAAATAAGTTGCAAACTGAAAATCGTTTTCATTGTCTGTACTGTGTCGCTGAGTGCCAGATGCTGTTCTCTCAAAGTCTTGAGTTTCATCAGTAGAAATGGATTTTTCAGTTCATGATAAGGTCCCCTTGAAAGATATAGCTCACCATTTGTCATAAATACTCGAAGATTCACCAGACTGTCGTTGATTTGTTTGAAACAAGCTTTTAATACGCAAACACAATTCACGTATAGCATATTTATTTCAAACTCCAGTAAATCGATGTATAGTGTGGTAATCTTGCGTATGATATTAAATTGCATCCACATGTAATATCTCAACAGTTGCACGATTATATAAAGCAATCCAAAAATGTCCTTGGTGTGGATTAATTTAGATAGATTTTGATACGATTTCTGAGGCAATCTCAATGAGAGCTTTAGTATAATCTGAAGTAAACGCATTCGTGGACCATTTGAAATGAGTGTGACGATTGTTGTAAAACCACCAAAAATGAAGAAGCAATTAAGTTGAAGTATCCTGGTTATTTTGTTTTTGAATTCAATATCATTTGCAAAATTGACATCATATATAGATATTAGTTCGCCAATGCAAAAAATATAAATAATTATAATTGACATAACATAATGTTGCTTGGAAATCTTGATGGTTGAGCCATTGAGCTTATACGGAAATATTCCTAGAATTCGACAAAAAATAAAGCAAGGGTACATTAGCGATTCAAAATCCGTGGAGCGGAATAGCTGAAATATGTTTGCTTTTCTTTTAGTTTTGAATCCTCTAGATTTCGATAAATTGAACATGTTCGTCGAAGTATTATAAAAGATCAGCAATTTAAATCATGGACTATAACATAAAAATTATTAATTAACCATATTATTGTAATTGCGTTATTAATGCATTTTAGTAAATATATATTTACATAAATTTTTCTTCCCACTATAAATTTTTATCTGCACGACAATGCAGTAACCGACTTATAAACTTTTTATAGTCTGTCTACACTTAGTGAATTCAATTTTGGAACTACTGACAATTCTTGCTTTGTACAGAGAAACAGAACTCAGGAATTTGTTATTCATGAACTATTTTGTTTATTATCCTAGAATTATGGTATAAAATATTGATATACATATAATTATTTGTGTCATGTAGTCCACAATCTTAAGCATCTAATTCAAGCGAATGAATTGTATCATTATTTCTTAGTCTTTCATTAGATTCATGTACGTATAGGTAATTACGAAATTGCAGTAAGTATATATCGTGCTGATATAAAGCTGATATTAGGAAAAAAAGTTAAATTTTTACTTTAAATATCTTGACTTTAATTATTATCTTAAATACGAGGGTCGTTCAATAATTAACGAGACGAACTGCAATAGCGGGAAAACTACTGAATGTTATTAGATGAAACTTTTTGAGGGCCAAGTTGGCAACCTTGGGGACAAATTCAACCTGCTTTTGAAAGAAATAAAAGTAAACATTACCTCTTTTGTTCATTTTAAAATGTCAGCTCCTCTCGAAACGTGTCCGCCAGAAGAGCAGCGTTTAGTGATAAGATTTTTGTTATCCGAAGGTGTGAAACCGAAATTTACTCGTGAATGTTGAAACAGTATGGTGAAAAGTCGGTCAAGACTTCAATCGGTCGTCCAGAGCGATGAAGATGGGTGACACTTGTTCTGCCCGAATTAAACTATTCAATCCACTTATTCACGACACGTTTCCGTGGCTTAAAGACTTTTCACCATACTGTTTCAACATTCTCGAATAAATTTCGGTCGGTTTCCTTCGGATAACAAAAATCTTATCACTGAACGTTGCTCTTCTGGCGAACACGTTTCGAGAGGAGCTGACATTTTCTGAAATAAACAAAAGAGATTATGTTTACTTTTATTTCTTTCAAACAGCTGATTGAATTTGTCCCCAAGATTGCCAATTTGACCCTCAGAAAGTTTCATCTAATAATATTCAGTAGTTTTCCTGCTATTGCAGTTTGTCTCGTTAATTATTGAACGATTCTCGTACTTTGTATGAATAAGAACTATATAATATAATAACTGATTTTTCAACATAATATACTTGAAAAATATTTATATATGTATATTTATATTATGTTTATATTATATATTACTATTAATAAAGCGATATTTTATCTATGACATAACTTAATGTATTAATATTATTGTTGCGTAAATTGTAATATTTCATTAAAAATAAATTTTTAATTAATTTTATTTACTAATATTTGAATTTGTTAATTAGATATTATTTACGCAAAAGTAAATAATAATTTGGGCGCAATTGTGATGTGACAAGCAGCGCATTGGTCTGTCATACCACGAATCCCAGATTCGATTCTCGCGATAGAACTAACAAATTTTCATATGCTCGCGTCTTTTCTCCGGAGGTCCGGCAAATCACCGAGAGTATCCTTTGCCTCGAAAACCTCTTTCAAAAAATTCTGTCGTTCAGATTTGGCTTTAAACTGTAGATCCCATATGCCTGTGTACAATCAGTTTGCGCACTACAGACATATAAAAAGAGTGGTAGGCCTTGGCTCCATGTAGCTGTAGCGTATTAAAGAAGAAATATAAATTTAAATTTGTAACATATTTAGTGAATATAAAATATTTATTAAAAATGTCACACAAACATTACATATAATGTCTAATTGTCCTAAATAAATAATTAAAAAACATCATTTGCTTGCTATAGATTCTTTAGATATTCTTGATTTATAAAACTATTAAATGTCCCTATAAATATGTACATACATAAATGTATCTATAAATATATCTATTAAACAACTTGAAAAACTACTAACAATGATATTCTATTAATAATAAAAAAAACAAGTATGATATTTGAAGTTGAAATTTGAAATACATTCGGTCTAGATAGACATCATTTTCTTAACTAGATTATATGTGTAAAATTGACTAAAAATTTTTGTTACATGAATTTGACATCTCTAGAAATTGTATCATAATTAATATATATGTGGTAATACCACCCGCCATCTGAAAAATATGATTACGATGTATAGCTAAATATACTTACATTTATTTAATAAATGGAAATAATTGATAACTTACCGCAGAGAGAAGCGTAGCATCCACATTAAGGCCCTTTGCGGAGAATATATTTTTGCAATGCATTAATTGCAAGGAAAAAAGTCGTAACTACAACATCAAATAAAAAAACTGTTGAGTCCAGTGTTCAAAGATGTAGTTATAAATCCGAAGTTAATATATTAAAAATCACATTAATACGCTAGACATATAATTAGAAAAATACGTAAAATATGCAAAATAAATTATAAATGTAATTTTTAACTTATGTACCTCGTATTTTATTTCCTCATCGCTGGTACTGTTATGCAGGTCGTTAACAGTGGTATTTATCTCTATTGCTTGATTCTTGCCGGTTTCGCAAGCCCATGCTATCAATACTATTTTCATAATGTGATGTGTCCCAAATACAATAAAGGATTCATAATATACCTGTTTTTCCAGCTCAGAAAGTAAAGATGTATCCCCTTGTACTTTTCGCACTAAATAGAAGTACATGTTGAAAGTGATTTCGATGAAGGCCATAATTATCGTAGATAAGAGTTGCAAACAGAAGGTTGTATTCAGCATCTGTACTGTGTCACAGATTGCCAGATGCTGCTTTTTTACAGCCTTGAGTTCCATCAGTAGGAATGAATTTTTCTGCTCATGATGGGTTCCCCATTTCAAGAGATATGGCTCACCGTTTGCCATGAGTTTTCGCAAATTCGCTAGATAGTCGTTGATTTGTTTGAAACAAACTTTTAATACGCAAACACAATTCATGTATAACATATCAATTTGAAACATCAACAAAATGATGTATACCATGAGAATCTTTTTGTATGTATCACTCTGCATACTAAAAAAACATATCAACAATTGCACAAATATAAAAGAGAATCCAAAAATGTCCTTGGCATGGATCAGCCTTGACAGATTCTGATATGATTTCTGGGGCACTCTTAAAGAGAGCTTTAATATGATTTCAAGTAAGCGCTTTCGTTGTCCACTGAAAATGAATGTCATGACTGTTATGAAACCACCAAGAATGAAGAAGCAATTACGTTCAAGTGTTCTGGGTCCGCTTTTAAATACAAATTTTTTATAAACGTTCATTTCGTAGAGGTTTATTACATCATAAACACAGAAAACGCAAATAATAACAATCCATAGGATGTAGTATGGTTTAGAAGTCTTAATAGTTGAAGCGTAGATCTTGTATGGAAATATTCCCAGAATACGACAAAAAGTGAAGCAAGGGTACATCAAGGATTCAAAGTCCGTGGCGTGAAATAGCTGCCACATTTTTGCTTTTCTCTTAATTTTGAATCTTCGAAATTTCAATGAATTAAACATGTTTGTGAAAGTATTATGAAAGATCAGCAATGTAAATCATATACTATAACCACAAAATTATTAATTAACTATATTATTGTAATTGCGTTATCAATGCACTTTAGTAATAATGTATTTTCAAAAATTTCTCTTCCAAGTGTAATTTTTGAGTATTTCCACGACGATGTATTAACCGATATAAACTCCTCGTAGTCTATCTACACTTAGCGTATTTAATGTTGAAACTATTTACAATTTTTGCTTCGTATAGAGAAACGGGACACGAGAGTTTGTTATTTACAAAATAATCATAGGTTTTCATTTATTATCCCTGGAACACGACATAAAATACTGATGTATAATTATCTCTGTCATGTAATTCACAATATAGATCATGTACCAAGTGAGTGAATATTATCAAGATATTACTTAGTCTACTATTATATAGATTCAGATATAGATAATTACAAATTTTGGTAAATATATGTAGTATTGACATAAAATTAAGAAAAAAAGTTAAATTTGTATTTTAAATAATCATTGAAATATATACATTGAAATATGAACAGTTGATTTAATCAAAATAATATGTTTAAAAAATGTTTATAATACGATTTAATAAAATAATTATGTATAAATAATAATAATTATATTTTGCTTATTTAATGTTATTTTGGGCTCATTTTAATTTATTGACTCATCAAATGGAGATTCTTGATTCCATATTCTTGGTTCCATGTTTTTCAACAAATCTTTATATTTTTGTCTTCTTTATTAGATATTTCTAACATAACATATTATAGGATATATCTGTTCTTTTTACATTTATATAAGCTAATAACTATTAAGTGAAGTGTTTCGAATCGTTAAATAAAATAACACATCTTTGTTACTTAAAGATGAAAAATACATATCCCCACTGTTAAAACAATTAAAATCAAAAGAAATTTATTTTGCCTTTATGTTAACTTTCTTAGTTTATAGGTCTAATTGTTTTTTGAATTCAGAGAATTCTCCAGCTCAATTTTGTCACTCTGGCAAGCCAGATAGCTGTGTTCTTTTTGTCAGAATGAGCATCAGCGCCACATTATCGGTTATATATAACGTGCCACATCGCCGGTCTTATATAACGTTTTTGAATAAATTGAATTATATTGATAATCGGCAGTGAAATTGCCTAGAAACCATTTAACGCAACACTCACAATTATAAAAATATAAAATATAAGAGTAATTTCGGATTTGAAAAATTATTCGTTCTTATACCGCCATCAGTAAAACATCAATAAAATAAGAAATTAACTTATCTTTTATTTATATGTTTATTGCTAAAATACTATTAATAAAGCGATATTTCATCTGAAATATGACTTGATATATAGAGAAACAGGACGTAAGAATGATTATTAATTATACATGTTATTGCATAAGTTATAATGTTACGGTAGAAACAAATCTGTGACATTGATTTTATTTACTAATATTTAAATTTATTAATAGATATTAATAGATATTATAATCAAAAGTAATTAAGAATTTAAATTTTGTGACATTTTTTTAGTAAATACGATGATATTTATCAGAAATGTCAATACTACGTACATTGTCTGTAATTGTATTGTACTTAAATTAATAAAACGTGTGTTTGCTATTGATTGTTTACATACTGTTGATACAAGACTTTAAATGTCTCTGTAAATATATGCATATATATAAACATGTTTATAAGCAATTTGTAAATTACTCACAATGACATTCTACTTACAATTAAAAAACGAGTACAATATTTAAAATGTCTTTTACATATTGTTATATTTGATTATCCAGATATCTTTTTGTTAACTAAATTGTACGTGAAAAATTGATCAAAAATTTTTTATCGCAAGAATTCGACATTACCAGGAATTGTATCAAAATTATTATGTACGTTGTAATACTACCCACCATCTGGAAAACACAATTAAGATGTAGAGTAATATATATACATTCATTTAAAAGAGATGCAAATGATGGATTACTTACCGTAGAGAGAAGCGAAGCATCCACAATAAAACCCTTTGCAGAGAATATATTTTTGCGATGTATTAATTGCAAGGAAAAAAGCCGCAACTACAACATCAGATTAAAAAATTATTAAATAGTGTTCAAAGATGTAGTTAAAAATCTGATAAATTAATATATTAAAAATCACATTAGTATACGTCGGACATAATTAGAAAAATACGTAAAATATGCGAATTAGACTATAATTCTTTTAACCTACCTCGTATTTTATTTCCTCATTGGTGGTGCTATTAAATGCATCGTGAACAGTGGTGTTGATCTCTACAGCTTGATTCTTGCTGGTTTCGCAAGCCCATACTATCAATATTAATTTTACAATGTGAAATGTTCCAACTACAATAAAGGTTTCGTAATACATCTGCTTTTCCGCATTAGATAAAGACACATCCCCTTGTACTTTCCGCACTAAGTAGAAGTACACGTTGAAAGTGATTTCAATGAAAGACATAATTGTCGTAAATTGGAGATGCAAACAAAAAATTGTATTCAACATCTGTACTGTGTCACTGATTTTCAAATGCTGCTTTTTCACAGCCTTGAGTTGCATTAGTAGTAGTAGATTTTTCTGCTTGTAATTTCCTCTCAAGAGATATGGCTCACCGTTCGCTATCAGTTTTCGCAGATTCACCAGACTGTCGTTAATTTGCTTGAAACAAGCTTTTATTACGCAAACACAATTTATGTATAACATATCCATTTGAAATATTAACAAAATAATGTATAACGAGAGAATCTTGCGGAATAAATTAAACCGCAAATTAAACAAACTTATTAACAATTGCAGAACTATTAAAAAGAACCCAAAAATGTCCTTGGCATGGATCAGTCTAGACAGATTCTGATATGATTTCTGAGGCACTCTCAAAGATAGCTTCATTATGCTTTCAAGTAACCGCATTCGTGGTCCATTCGAAATGAATGTGATAACAATTATAAAACTACCAAGAATGTAGAAGCAATTACGTTCAAGAATCCTGGGTACGCTTTTGAATGCAAATATTTCATAAACATTCATGTAATAGAAATTTATTATTTGGTAAACACACAAAATGTGAAAAATAAAAATCCAAAGAATATAGCATGGTTTAGAAGTCTTAATAGTTGTAGCTTCGATCTTGTATGGAAATATTCCCAGAACACGACAAAAAATGAAGCAAGGGTACATCAATGATTCAAAGTCAGTAGCGCGGAATAGCTGCTGTATTTTTCTTTTTTTCGTATCTTTCAATCCTTGTAAATTCGATAACGAATTGAACATGTTCCTTAAATATTACGGGAGAACAGTAATCTAAATCTTAGATTACAAGCGAAGAGATAACTGCGTTATCGATACACATTGACATTAATATGTTAAAAATTTTTCTTTTAAATATAATTTTCGGCAACTTTTTGATGTAACAAATTCGTATATCGACGTAAACTTCTCGCAGTTTAACTACACTTGACGAGTTTAATTTTAAAACTGTTAACAATTAATGCGTTGTATATGCACAACTGGACTCAGGAATTTGTTAATTATTAAGTAACCATGACTCTTCATTTATAACTTCCAAAACACGCATAAAATAATTATATATAATTAATTGTGTCGTGTAATTCACAATCTTGCGCATCTAGTTCATGTACGAAGCCAATAAATGTTATCAAGATGTTTCTTAGTCTGTCATCATATTCATTTATAATTGAATACAAGGTTAAAGTAAATGTATATTGTGGTGATATAAATTAAGAGTTAGCAGAAAAATTAATTTTTATTGCAGAATATAGTGAGAACTAAAAGAAATTTTACGATTCGATAACAACAAAATAATAACACAATTGAGCATGATACTTAGTAAACGTAAAGAAAAAAATGCATTATATGAAGCTAACAAAGAATGTGTTTGAAAATTACGCGTCTTGTAGTTTGAATCCGAGAATATTGAAATACGATTTCACTATCAATATGACACTATTAATATAATGAAAAATTATGGAAATGTTCCCACAATACGACAAAAAGTAAAACAAGGATACATCAACGATTTAAAATCCGTAGCGCGGAATAGCTGCCATATTTTTTCTCTTCTTATACCTTTGAACCCTTGGAACGTCAGTCGACGAAATAAATTAAACATATTCATTGAAGTATTATGGATGAACAATAATCTGAATCATAGATTACAAGCAAGGAGATATTAACTGCGTTATCAATTAGTAGCAATGTATTTCATTCATCAAAATTTCTCTTTCAACTGTAATTTTTTAATATCTTCTTGGCAGAAACTTACCGCGATCTATCTACACTTGACGAATTGAATTTTTAAACTAACACTTTTTGCTTTGTATAGAGAAATGAAAAGCATTTCTTAGGAATTTATTAATCATAAAGTGACTATGGCTTTTCATTTATTCTTAACACACATAAAATAATAATATATAATTATCTCTGTCATGTAATTCTCAACCTTGAACATCCAGAACAATAGCATGTACCAAACGAATGTTATCAAAATTTCTTGACCTTCCATTATTCATATATATAATAGATAAAAACAAAGTAAATATATATTGGGTTAATATAAAATCAAGAAGAGAATAGCAAATTTTTATTTTATATGAAATAAGTAAACAATTTATTTGATCAATATATAATAACATATTTGATAAATATTTTTTTATACGACTGAGAAGAGATCATTAAACTTAAGGCTAAACAATTAATTCTATCTTATGTATTACTATTTAATGTGTTACTTGTAACGTATTACTTATTTTATGTTACTCATTATATTACTGTTATTTAATGTTATTCATTATAATCTTCATTCCGATTTATTATAATTAATTATTAGCAATTAGTCTCCTTTCTGCTATCTTGCGGCAACTTCTGCGAATATACGAGTTATATACATTGCTCTAATTAAATTAAATGTTTTTTTATTTCTTAGTATTTTACCCTTAGTATTTCTACCATCGATATTGATACAAGGGGAACGAGACGACGACGATGACGAGTGAATATCGTCTCTTGCAACTGATTATTTATAAAAAATTTTTGAATACCCTATACATATATGAATATATGCAAACATATATCTGTCTATAAGCATATAAAACACCTCGGATTCATAATGCACAATGTTATTTTATATATAATAATAATAATAAAGAGTATAATTAATATTTAATATATCCTTTATATTTGGTCCAGGTATCTTTTTATCAATTAGGTATGTGTAAAATTCATTAGAAATTTTTCATCGCAAAAATTTGACATTATCATGAATTGTATCAAGATTATTAGGTACGTAGTAATACCACCCACCATCTAAAAAAACATAATCACGAAATAAAGCTAAATATACACACATTTATTTAATAAAAGCAAATGATTGATCACTCACCGCAGTGAGAAGCGTAGCGTTCACGTTAAGTCCTTTTGCGGAGAATATATTTTTACAATGCATTAATTGCAAGGCAAATAACTGTAACTGCAGATCAAAAAATTGTTAAATGCAAAGGGGATTCAAAGACGTAGTCATATATCTGATAAATTAAATTAAAAATTGTATTAGTACACGTGGAATATAATTTAAAAAATATATAAAATTAACAATATAAATTAATAATACAAACTAAATTGTAATTTTTATTTTATGTTACCTCATATTTTATTTCCTTATCACTGATATTGTTAATTGCATCGTGAACGGTTGTATTAATCTCTAAGGCTTGATTTTTGCCGGTTTCGCAAGCCCATACTATCAACAACACTTTCGTAAAGTAATATGTTACAGATGTTATAAATAATTCGTAATAGAGCTGTTTTTCTAGATTACTCAAAGGCACACCAACTTGTACTCGCACTAAGTAAAAGTATAGGTTGAAAATGATTTGCGTAAAAGTCACAACTATTGTAGAAAGAAGCTGCAAACTGAAGATCGTTTTTAGCATCTGCGCTGTGTTACTGATTGCCAAATGCTGCTTTTTCACAACTTTAAGTTTTACCAATAGAAATGGATTCTTCTGCTCGTGATGGGTTCCCCTCAAGAGATACAGCTCACTATTTGCCGTCAGTTTTCGCAGATTTGCCAGATTGTCATTGATTTGCTTGAAACAAGCTTTTAATATGCAAACACAATTCACGTATAGCATATCCATTTGAAACACTAGCAAAACGGAGTATAGTATGAAAATCTTGCGTAAAACAGCAACAAATTGCATTCTATAATAAAATATCGACCCATGCACGAATAGAAAAAAGAGTCCAAAAATGTCCTTGGCATGGATCAGTCTAGATAGATTCTGATATGATTCCTGGGGCAATCTTGAAGAGACCTCTAATAAAGTTTGAAGTAGACGCATTCGTGGTCCTCTCAAAATAAATGTAACGACCATTATAAAACCACTGAAAATGTGGAAGCTATTACGTTCAAGTATCCTGGGTATGCTTTCAAATGCATTTTTGTACATATTCATATCATAGAGATATATTAGATCGTAAACACAAAACATGCAGCTAATAATGGTCGACAGAATATAACATGGTTTCAAAATCGTGATGGTTGTAGCGTTGATCTTGTATGGAAATAGTCCGAGAATGCGGCAAAAGGTGAAGCAAGGATACATCAACGATTCAAAATCTGTGGCACGGAATAGCTGCCATATGTTTCCTTTTCTTTTACCTTTGAATCTTTGGAACTTTGATAACGAATGTAACATATTCATGTGAAGTTTCAAAGAAGTTTTATAGGAGAACAATAATCTGAATTATCGACTTCAAATTAAGAGATATTAAATGCAATACCAATACACTTTGGCGTCAATATTCTTAGACGAATTTCTCTTTCAAGTGTAATTTTTTTAGTATCTTCACGAGTGCGAACACCAGCATAAATTTCTCGCAGTCTTACTACACCTCGAGAGTTTAATTTGAAAACTAACAATAATCGCGACGAATAGCGAAACAAGACTTAGGAATTTGTTAGTCTCGATATAATCATGGCTTTTCGCTTATCACCTCCAAAACACTTATAAAGGAATGATTAATAATTGCTGTTTCGTACAATCTGACGCATTCATCTGACGCATCAATTATATCTAAAGCTAATAAACATTATCAAGATATTTCGCAATCTTCCATTAGATTTATATATACTTAAAGTTACAGTAAATTTCTATTTGTGTTGATATAAACTTAAGGAGAAAAGAATATTTGTATCTTAAATGAAATATGAACTGTGTGATCAATATAATGTATTTAAAAAACTTTTTATAACGTAGGACTGATAAAAGATAATACGACTTAATTAAACAATTAAGTAATTGCATTTTGCGTTGCTGTTGAGCATTATATGATCTCTTTCCGATCTGCAATTCACCTTTTATCTGCTGTCTCATAGTATTTCGTAAACATTTATGTTATACAATATAACACTTTAATTAAATTAAATGCTTTTCTTTTCTATTGTTTTTTATTAACAATGTACACACACTTAAAACAGATTAGATGATAATTTGAGTACCGTGTCAATATTTGTACAATAAAATTTGCCACAGAATGTACATATATGAAAGATAAGAAATAAATTTAGAAATTGTGTCATAAAGATCAAATATTCTATACACTCAATAAGAATATGGATTTTGAAAGCAAATGTTGAAAGAAGACGAGGAAATTAATATAAGTATCTTGAAGAGTTACTCGTCCACGTGTAGTCGATACTATCTGTTTTGTGTTTGCATACATAATTTGATGGGTCGTCACAACAATTACACATCATTATTTTACACGCTGTATCCCAAGGGTACAGCCGATCGAAGAGCACCATGGTTACTTGACGCCTAACAAAGTATCCCTTTAGTCTTGCTTCGAGTCAGCAATGCATCGCAGTGTTGAACCTTAATTTTCTGGATGTAAATGGTACGGTATCTAATTCACGTATTTAACGAGAAAAGCAAGTTTAAAGATTACATTTAGGGAAAAAATTCGCATTTGTATTAATGCCACAGTACGTTGATGCAATATAATTAATAATTTTTGCTTTCTAGTCCACGATTGAGATGTTAACACTCACGTGACATTTCGCCGATCATGCTCGATTTGACATCGAAATTCCAAAGACAATTATTGAAGAAATGGCGGCCCTTTCAAGCCACCGACTTTCAATCCTTAATGTGTCCTTGCTTCACTTTTTGCCACATTCTTGGAATATTCCCGTACACGATCAACGCTTCGACCTTCAAGATGTCCAAACCGCGTTACATTCTGTCAACCGTCGTTATCTGCATGATCGGGGTCTTCGAAATCATGCTGCTCCATAGCTGGCTTTCTGGAAAGATGATAGATTTTGAAGACGTACCGAAGGCTCTCGAGGTTCACTTCTACTATATACTTAGCTGTTTCATAACGATCGTCACGTATATCTTGAGCGGTCCACGAATGCGTTTGCTCCAGACCGTAATGGATGTCTCATCAAAGCTGTCCTCGAATACATATAAGAAATTGTCCCAACTAATTCACGCGAAAGACATCAGCGGTTTCTTCTTCTTTCTCGCGATAATGATGATATGTTACAGCAAGCTGAACACCGGCCCTTTACTAAAATTGTACACAATGTACATTGGTTTGGTGGTCTTTCAGATGGATATGCTATACATGAATTGTGTTTATATATTGAAAGCTTGTTTTAAGAGACTCAACGACAAGATCGCGAATCTCCGGAAACTCGTGGTGAAGGATGTGTCGCATCTATTCAGCCGGATATACCATCACGAGCAGAGAAATCCATTTCTACTGATAGAGCTGAAAGCTCTGAAAAAGCAGCATTTGATGATCAGTGACACGGTGCAGATGTTGAATTTGGTCTTCAGTTTGCAGCTCCTCGCTACCATGATCATAACTTTCGGTGAAATTACTTTCGGTCTGTATTTCTACATATCTCAATGGCCGATTTTCAGCAACGAATTGCCTAAAGATCTTTGGTACTCATATTTCATGATGTTTGTAATATATCAGTTTTTTAAAATGTTATTGATGGTATGGGCCTGCGAGACCGGCAAGAATCAAGCTCTTGAAATTGGCACCACCATTCACCTCTTGTTTAATAGCATTAGCGATAAAGAAGTGAAACACGAGGTAATGTAATGTAATTTAATTTGTGTACATTTTTAAAACTTTTTGCGTACTATAATGCGATTTGTTTATATATTAAATCTATTAAATCTATTAAAATCAATAAAGTTATAATTACTCTAGATTTTATATTTATCTCTGGTTCTAACGTTGCAGTTGAAGTTGTTTTCTTTGCAAATATTGCATCGCGAAAATATATTTTCAGCAAAGGGTCTGAATGTAGACGCGACACTTGTAGCTGCAGTAAGTAAATTAATTGTTTGTCTTTATTAATTAAATATATTTTGCTTACTCTGTCATTTTGTTTTTAGATTGTTGGCAACGTTACTACATACGTATTAATCTTAATGCAGTTCCTATTGCTGTCTAATTCCTGCGATGGAAATCCTGTGTCTACGCACAATATTACACAAATAAACTAATTAAAGTAAGGTATCAATCAAAGCAATAAAATATTTTTTAATATATATGCGTATTTACGAAGCGAATTTATACGTATTCTCTCTTTTAAAGAAAAGGTTAGATAGTTATCTCTACTAATATTAGAAAACTGTTTTTCAAAACTCGTTTGCTTGATCAATATCACGAGTCATATATTATCATATATATTTAGATCGATTTTAAATATTTTTTTATTTATCACAAAGAGAGCAATTGGCCAACGACAGGTTCGTCGCTCGTTTCTTCCGTGGTAACTATCTGCTTCTTCTCTCATGGCTTTTCATCTTGTTTTTCCTCTTGAAAATAATTGGTCGCCTGATCGAGATGCGGCACGAATCGCTTCGACCGTGGCGAACGACGCCTTCCTTTTTCTTTCATCTTCTCTTTGTTTCGTTCAATTTAATAAACAGAAAATGGAACATATATCTACGGATTATTCTATACGTATCATCCTTTTAAAATGGTGCGCATTGGAGAAAAAAAACTATATAAAATTATATTCCCTTATTTAATACGAGAAAATTAAAAAATAATAAAACGTTATTTAAAATTGTTTTAGAGATATAACGAATTTTACGCTGCAGATAAACATTAAACGAAAAATATGTAACTTTTTTTTAGGTTTCTCGTTTTCATTTAAAAATATTTGAATGCGAATATTTCAAACTAAATAGAAAACATGCGAAAAATATTTATGCGTTTAAGTAGATGTTATCTAACGTTTAATACAACTGGAGCATGAAAAATAAAAGCACTTGAAGTTATTAATAAAATTATTTTTGCATATAAAAGCAAATAATCTTTAATAATGAGTAAAACGTTGAAATTTTACGACAGTAATATTACTCGCTCATTTTATTAGTACTAATTAAATCTCTCTTATATATAACTACTTATAAAATTACAATTGTAAAGTGTAGCACGTTATGTGTTTTACATTTCAAATGTTCAAACAGCTGAAATTTTAAATTTGAATAATGACATTTAATAATATCATTGTGTAATGAATTGTACAAAATTTCTGATAATATATTATTAATTAAATAATCAATATTTATAAATTAATTAAGTTCTGTCGCTTTCAATGCTGGCAATTTTTAAAAACATTTTTTTGTCAATTTAATTTTGTATAAATATAATTATATAATTAATAATTTTTAATATAATTAGTTTTTTTAATTGTGAGATTATTATTAGATTTATCTTAGATTTATCATTAGAATTAAAATTAAAGCAAAATATTACTAAACTTATTTTTATTTTATTTTAAAATAAAATTATTTTTACTTATTTTTCTCAAATTTTCGAAAATTGATAAGCCATAGCAAGGATCGAAAATTGAACTTATTCATTTTATCGTATCTTTGTGAATTATGTTCGAGACGAAGCACGTTTTTCTTTATTTCTGCCGTCTAGCAGTAAAATATATTATTTTTATGCACACACACATATATTGCTGCATAAATTGTTCCTTTGTATCGTAAATAAAAATTGTTATAAAGACTTGTCTCGAGAGAAGTTGTTCGTGAAGGAAATTTATCGCGAAAAAACTCATATACTGTGGATACGTCACGATTCTAAAATTCGAAGATCGAAAGAAACGAAAAGAAACTACGATATTTCACTTATATCTTCTTCGACGTTGTTCTAATATTACAAAACGTGTCCACAGATAGCAAACGCATAAATGACCGATCTGATTAAGTCGAGACTTTCTCCTAGCGTGCTAATCAAATTTCAAGTAGACGTTAATATGACAGATGAAGATTATAAAGGGTTGTCAACTTGACTAGATATTAACTTCAGCTGGATAGACTTTTCACCGAATTTTATAAGAGTTTGCGATGAAATTTCACGAAGCAATTTCCATGTGTTACATAAATAGCCGGTCTTACTTTGTATGTAACAAAAAACGTCAACTATTTCACATTTCCATTACACGCTATGTGTAAACTCTCTCTCTCTCGCCATGAGATTTCAAGAGTGCGATAAATCTTTTATTTCAAATTCGTCACACACATCCGCATTCTTACCGCTATACTATCCGGTACGAGTTTATGTAAAGACGTCACTCGCAAATTTTTGAGGGCTCCATGTATGTTTTGTATTTCCAAACGGGCGCTCGTAAACACCGCAGTGTGTCACTCTTCATGTGCGCTCATATAACAGAAAAATAACACTGCATATAAAAGCTGAAGACCTCTCCTGCAAAAGTAACGATGAAGCGAGAGGTAGAGATGTGTTCCTCTGTACGAAATGAAATGAAACGATTCAAAGTCACGTTATACATAATATATAAATTTTGTCATCAAAAATTTTCATTTTGCTCTTTTTTGGTCTTTTTCTTTATGATTTTATCACTCATTTTCTCCCTCTTTTTCTTTATTATGATTTGAATTTCCGTATCGTGGAAAAAGAAAGACTAAGCGTCTATTTTAAATTATTCAATTTTAAACCAAAAAAAAAATGAAACACAATCGAGTTCACAATCAAGGAAACCCTTTATATGATGTGACAGTCGTCGAGTGCATTAAGAAGTTGCGATTTAAGATTGGCGTGTTATCGAAACGATAACACGAAAAAGCCGTTTATTCTCTATTTGAAGAAGAAAAAGAGATGAGAGAAAGCGAGACAGAGAGGACGAGAGGGAGAGAGTTGGCGCTCGCGTAACGCGAAAACAACGTTGAATATAAAAGCGGCAGTGATCTCGCTGGAAGATATACACACGAACGAAGAACGAAGATTTCGCGTGACTGGCAGCCGAGAGAAAAGCAGGTGGGAGGGAAATTCTGAGCGGAACGCCGAGCGCGGCATCCCTTCGTGTCTCTCAGTCAGCGCTACGTGACGTCCTCGTTAAAATATAACCGCCAGGATGCCGTGTCTATAGGGCTCTACAGGTCGCACCGGCTCCGCGCGACAGGTCGATTCGGAACGGAATGAAATCTTGCGAGTCGCGCACAGCTGAACGAGCGGGCTCCGTTCGGATTTAGCGTCGTAACGCGAGACGGAGAGTTCGCTCGAGTTAGTCTTGTAATAGTAGAGGCCATTAGGTCGCGACGGCGAGGCTGCGTCTCGTCAGATTATTTCCGTCACAAACTTCTTACAACCGAAGCATCGGTACTTTTACAACAAAGATTATTAGTAAAATAAACTGCCGCAGTAAAATTCGAGATCCGTCTCTCAATGTTTTCAATAAGTAACATCGTGACATTAAAAGTTAGAGAGAGAGAGAGAGAGAGAGAGAGAATGAAAAAGAAAAAATGGGAAATAAAATCTGTTTTGTAATTAATTCCGATTAGACTCTAACAAAGATGTTTTGGAGTCTTATAAAAAGTAAAATGGTAATTTAATTTTTGCTAAGATAAAGCTGACTTCGTACAGAAATCTATATAATTGAACGCAGATTATTTCTGATGCACTCAATATAAAAGAGTAATAATAATAATAATAATAATAAAAACCGAATATCAGATATCAAATGAGTTTGAAAAAACGAGTAAAAAATAAATAACTAAAAAATGTTATGGTAAACAAGAAGGCAGAAACAAAAAATGAAGAAAAAAGGGAGAAGATGTGACGTTTAGAGATACAGTGTAAAAAGATAAATAGATGAAGTTAAATTCACAGCATTTCTAAATGTTGAAATATTTGACGTATGACAATTAACAATTAAAATATGCTATTTATTGCGTCTCGAATATGCAAGATATAACAATTGTTTCCTTTTTTTTTGCATGTTGCAAGTACACCATTTGATTATATGAAATATGATCAAAATGTACTCTCGCGCGTTTTACGAAAAGAAAATAAACGCGTCTTCTCTCTCTCTCTTTCTCTCTGTCTCTCTGATTTTTCAGTGTGCCTCAGTCATTCCAGATTTTGCCTCATTTATCTACAATGTCTATTGGGGAGGTCATTTGTCACCATGTTACAAGCTAGAACAGAAAAATCAGCTTTCACGTAAAGAGATATAAAGGAGAGAGAGAGAGAGAGAGAGAGAAGTGTGTGTGTGTGTGTGTGTTTAAGAGAGAAAGAAGGAGACAGATCGAAAATTGCGAAGAAGCGATGGCGGTCGCATGGAGAGAGAAATGGGCGAAAAAAGCTCATTTCTGCGGGGGTTTATCGGTCGGAGACGTTCCCTCCCCGCTATATTGCAAAGGGAAGCATATGTTCCGGCCAGTCTGTTCCCCTCTTTCTGGCACACCAATGTGCACGCGGACGCTTCCCGTTTTCCCGGTGTCTCCAACGCCGGTGTAACGGCTGCGTTTTATAAAGTACGTGACTCTTCGACGGGGATGTACATTCGCGTCTCTCTGCCACGTTCTATCCCTCCCTCCCGCCGTCACGTCCCCCACGATCCATTTTCCCTCGAGCTATTGTCTTCGCACCACCCGCTCTCTCGTATCCCGATCGCGATCGCGATGCGTTTCAATTCTCATTCGACGTCGCGGTTTCGCGCGGTGTTTGCGAATTCCGTACGTTCACTTCGCCCCACGACGACGTGATGGATGTAGAACGCTCGGATAACCGCCAATAAATAAATGGATTAAATTGGAATGGGACGGGTAATATTTGTGGAGACACAGCGGTGGATTCGCGAATCAGACAGATTCTCCGCGGTCTCTTTCTCTTTCTGACATCATTATTGAAAGTGTTCGTATACAGTTGTACACTTTCGCACGCGAATGGTACACAGGCTGCGTCTCTCGATCGAAAGATTTTACAGGTTTAACTGATTTGCCCGGGAGCTGCGAAGTAGCGCGCGATTAATCTTTGAGAGGCGCAAAATTGATTCCGCGTCCCGACAACTCTGCCGCTTAATAATCCTGTAGAGCCGCAAATCGGATTCGGAAGAGCTTAATGCGGTCGTAATAATAAGTAAGGGAAGAGGATCTTGTGCTACCTTTTATGCCGCGATGTTTTACCGTGACTCCAAAGAAAGATGAGCCAAGATAAGATTATAGAATGGATAAATGGAGGTAGAATGGAGACGCGCAATTTAAAAGAGTAGTGACTAATTCGCGGAGCAGACAGAAAAAGGAAAGTCAGATGGAAAGAAAAATGAAAAAGGATGGAAAA